AAAAAAATTGCAACACGTAAGTTTTAAATCAGTTAAATACAAAAATCGATGATTGATATTAAAATCGTTTGATTAAAAATCGCGATTTTAGCAAATTCCGGTGCAGTTCCTAATATTTAAAATTCCAAAAATCAGCCAAACAAAAAAAAAAAACGCTCGTAACGAAACGCTTAGACTCCTTTCCACTCTATAGCAGAAGTCGCGGTTATCCGACTATCGTTCAGGCGGCTTGGGTTTCTCCAATAGGACTTCCCAAAAATTTTAGTTTTTGTAACATGGTCGGAAATTTTCAAAATTGGGGAAAAAAAGCGGATTTCCGCTTTTTCGTGGAAGTCTTTCATCCCTGCAACACATAATTTTTAAATAAGTCTAATACGAAGATCGATGATTGATATTAAAATAGCCTGAATAAGAATCGAGATTTTGTCAGAATCTGGTGCAGTTCCCAATATTTAAAATTCCTAAAATCAGTCAAACATACATAAAATCCTAAAATCAAACAGTACGAGTCATCATCTGAAAGACGGGGAAGTCATTCTCTCACACTTACGCGCGTCATAAAGTTAACCATAGAAATACTGGAAATAGGGCTGTTTTCCTGAGTTTTTGATATTTTTCAAGGTCATTTCGAAATTTTCAAGGATTTAATATCATTTTCAAGTACTTCTAGGGGGCCCTTGAAAATCAAAATGAAATTCAAGTACTTTTCAAGGCTTTTTCAAGGCCGCGGGAACCCTGTTAAAGCTCCATTTTTTAATTTTTATTTTTTTACTCTAGCCATCAAAAAGCTCCTGCTACATTCATCAAACTTGAACTAAAGCTAAAATATATATTTCAATAATACAAAATTAATTTGCATCAAAAATCGAAAAGTTTGGGAACTTACAGAAAAGAAAAACCTTAAACTGTTTGACTTGTTAATCTAGTGGTGTGTATTGGTTGAAGTATAATAGCCAAATGGCACCAAGTGTTTTTAAATGAGGATCTTTATGTTTTCCATATAAGTTATAATTTAGAGAAGACATCTCTGCTTAAAATTCTAACCTTCGATATGCCACAATAACATTGTCTAGTTGCATTACAAAGGTACTTATCGGTTTACAAGGGTTACCTTAACTTAACTTTGATGTGGCACGAGATTGAGAGTTCATAATCGTGTCTCGTCCTGATGTTGATGAAGTCAATCCATGTTTTACTACTTGATTCTACAGTAATATTTTTGGATGTTCTTACTCATCAATAAACTTTGATAATTTTTTTTATCGATTCTTCAGTTATTATTCAAATGTGTAATGCCACATGCCAAAAGAAAATATTGAATTAAGTACTTAAAGAAGCAGTATCAAAATGAGGTTTATTAGTAAAATAAATCACTTTTAAAAGCAATGAATAAAACTTCACAAAGTCATTAACAATTGAATGAGTAAAAACACTAATTGTCTTTTAAAGATGTAAAAATTTAACACTGATTTATGTTATTTCTCTTTAATAATTTATAATTGTTTTAATATTTTACATTCTTTAATAAAATAAATTTTTTTTTCACTGAATGGCTGGTGCCCCTAGTCCCTCGCTGGTATTGAGATAAAAAGCTACCAGGGCCTGATTACCGAAAAGTAAAATTCTAGGGGGCCCCCCAAATGCCTGAAATTAAGGGCCCAATTTCTTATTTTTTGCAACAAAAAAATAATAATAAAAGAAATTTAAAAAAAATCACTCCAACAGAAACTCTTGGAAAGAAAAAAAAATGGGATGCTTAATAATGTCACGTTTGTAAAAGCATTGCCATCGAAATATACCGGTTTTTCTCGTTGGGTTGGCTATAAGCAACTCAAGCAATAAGCAACATACAATCACAGATCCCATGCTTATGTTCCTAAGCCAATTGCATTATTTCTTGTTGCATATTGTTCTTTTCCCCCGATTATGATTAAATTCAAATACGATTATGCAGTCCTCTTTTAAGTTACATAGAGTTACTTGAATTGCAATCACAAAAAGTCAATTCTTATTTAACTTTAATTTTTCATGCATTTAATTCTTATCCTTTCTTATTTTTTTATTTTAATCTTTTTTCTCTATCATGCACGCTCAATTTAATTTTATTCTGTTTTTTATTGTTGAACTAAACACACAAGACTTTTAAATATCTATTAGTACAAAAAGTATTTTTGTTTCATGTTTGAAAATTATTTGGTATGATTTTTCTGGTGCAGTAACAATAATTTATGCTGAATTAGAATTTTGTGTTGTTTTGCCGCTAGTTAACAAATTGGCGTAAAAAAGAGACTAATCTTGCAAAGAACCTTTCGTATAACAACAAGTAATTTTATAATTTAATTTAGTGAAATCTTTAAATTTTGTTAACATATGAGCTAGCTACTCCCTCATGTTTTTGTTACTATAAAGCACGTAAAGAAGGGTCCAACATGATTGCTTAAGATCTCTGTATTCCTTTCTAAGGTTCTAATAGTTTTCACATGGTTCTTGTCTCTTTAAAATGTACTGTTTATGGGCGAAAAATATCAAAATTTCTTTTGCTCATGTTAGGGGGGCCCCAAAATCCTATTATGCTTCCCCTATTTTCAGAGGTTAATCGGGCCCTGAAAGCTACCTTGGACATTAAACCTAGTATGAGACCAAAGCTCTCAGGCTGCCCTCTCGTGGCTAGCTAGTGGCCACATTAAAAGCCTCTCTTTTAAAAATGGTGTGGGGATCTTTGCCATCTGCATAAGAATCCATGATCAACATGCTTCAGCCAAACACATACAGGATTGTTTGGGCCTCACAAAGACGGAAACTATTTCAAATCCTTCCCAAGTCACGGATAGTAATAAGAACAACATTTTCTTCTTTAAAGTTAAAAAAGAAAAGCTTTACCTGTTGTTCTCTTCTTAGTTTATCATCAATATCAGCAATAGTAGCTTCATGTCTTGCTTTTAACTTAGATAATTGTTTAGATTTTTCTTCTTCTTCACTAAGATTCTGAGAAACTTCTAAAAACTTTTCCTCTAAAATTTTCTTTTCCTTTAGGATCTGAAAAAAAAAAATTTTTTCAAAAGTAATTCAACAATTGAGGTTAAGAGCACTGCTGAAAAGTACCAATAACAGAATTCAAAATAACTTAACTTACTTTTTGATTACTATCATCAAGTACAGCAAAATCTTCTTCTAATTTTTTAATTTTAGAATCCAAAGTAACCTTTTCTAATTGAAGTTTCTGGCGAGCTCCTTCCTCTTCTTCTAATCTAATGAAAAAAAAATTTAAATTATAGAAAAAAAGCAAATCTATAAACTGATCCACCTTATGATTTGTTAGTCTTTAAAAATTGATTTGATAAAATTTTAAATAAATTTTAAAACCACAATCTTAGTAACTTAGGTCTCAGAAACAAAGTCATTTATGTAGAAAGAACTAGAATCTGAAGAACCTTACAAAAGAATACAGTAAAAAAAAAATATTAAGAATAAACCACTTATATTAGATTCCATTTTCATTAACAAGCTACATATTTACCCTCTGAGAGTTTGACCTGTCTTTCTCTATATTTTAAACTGGTTCCCCACTGCATATAAAAATAAATATAAAAAAAACTAGCTCTTGCTGTTATTCAAGGGAAAAGCACAGCAGGGAAATTTTTTACAAGACACACACAGAGTACAATCTCTTACAAGAGCTCGATTCGTGGAAGATTAATTGCAATTACTTTACTGCTGATAGTTAAAATAGATCACAATGAATTTATAAAAATACAATAAACACTATAAAACTATGCATATCTGACAATACATTTTTAAGTAAAGTTTTTTGAATTGATAGCATCACCACTTCATCAATTATAATGAGTGAAAGATTATTTCATTTTTGAATAAGAACAATTATAAAGATGATTCCAGTTTTAAAAAATAATCTTTGAATTACAATTTTTCTTTTAAATAAATTTTAAAAAGGTCATCCGATAAATGAAATTTGAATAGTATCTGTTATCTATGTTTATCAGCTGCAAAATATTAATACTTTATAAAATGATTATAAAAAAGGTGCATTAAAAAAATCTGTATAGACATGCATAAAAAATATAACTTTGACAAACAAATATTTTCAAGATTGTTAACATTTTATTTTAAATAAGATTTGGTTGACATAGCAAATTATAGCTTTATTTTATGGACTGCAGTAAATTTGAAGAGAAATTGTAAATTACAATTATAAAAATATATTTGTACAATTTATTTATTACTGTAGTTAAAATAATAAATAGATATGAAATAATAATAACCAGTGGCAAAGAAATAAATGAAATATCAAATAAGTTAGCAATTTTTATTTATTTTTTACAGATATTTTTCACTGAAGCTTAAATCTCTATTATTAAAATCTCTATTATAAATTAAATTACTAAAAAATGCATTTTAAACTATTTCTAAAAATAAGATAATTAATAAATAATTTTATAAGAAAAGTGACAGTTGATAAGCAGGATCAGTCAGTGGTTCAATGGACCACAAAGAATTATTTTCTAGTGGTTTGTCTCAAGTGATTTGTCTTTCTAGTGGTTTGTCTTTCTTGACAAATTACGAATTTAAATGTTAAAATGAAGCAAAGAGGTAAATACAAAATTTTTAAATGAGGCAAAGAGGAAATCATCTAAAAAAATAAAACTACAACAGTAAATAAACTTATGCTTAATGAAAATGACTTATGTTTAATGAAACGAAATGGATAATAATATATTTTCAAAAAAAGATTTTAATATAATTTGAAATGTAAAAAAGAGATCAAGAAGAAATAAAAGTTCTTACTGTTCTTCTAGATCCTGAATAGTTAACTGAAGTTTCTTTTTCTCAGAAGTCAAATTCTTGCTTTTTTCTTCCTCTTCTTCAATTCTAACTTCCATGTCTTGTAATATATCTTCTAGTTCTTGCTTTCTAGCTTGCAATCGTAGTCTTAACTCCTCCGCCTCTGCACAAAGTTCAGTTTCAGCTTGTAATTGTTCAGCTAGGGTAGTTTTTTCTTCAGACAACTGTAGAAAAAATTTGCTTTTTAAATAAACCAAGATATAAAACATCTAGAGGGCAGTTTATGACAAACATGTAAATATTATTTTCATAAAATTAAATTATTACTAAGGCGTTATTAAGCAGTAAAATAAGTAAATTTTTATCAAATATATTATAAATAAAGAAGATATTATATTAAATATAAATATTATTAACAAAAATAAAACAATATAGCAGAAATAAAAGTAAATTCTGAATATTGTATTTCTTTAATATGTAATAATAGTCATTCAGAAAGGTCCATATAATTTTACTACTATTGTTCTGCAAAACATTAAAATGATCTCAATATTAAACGGTGTGTAAGTACACAACATCAAACCATGCCAAGCACCTAACCCTGTTTAATTCGAGAGCTCCATCTTTTAACTGCTTTGTTAGGTACACAGTGCAATTTTGGTCCAGGTCAGATAACATGGGCAGTGTCCTGAACTGGTACCCCTCTCTCAAACAGCAACGCCTCAACCAACAAGACAGACTTAAGCCACAACAGATATAATGTGCATATGCATGCCAGTTGTTGTAGAGCGTGTATTTACAATTCTTACAATATAATGCTTCAATAATTTTTTCACTCTTTTAGGTGAAATTCTTTTTCTGATTAACAATTAATACCTGAACTGTTTCAGATATAGACTTAAAGACATACAGATTTGAAACAAAAATTTATATGGTACATTGCTAAATAATATCTTATATTTAGCTCTGATAATAATTAATCATAGAATACTAAAATATCAGGTTACACAGTTTAAAAGGTAATAAAAAAAATTACTTGTAGAAGCTTTTTTTCTAATTCACCAACTTCCGTTTCAGCTTTCTCCATTTTTTCTTTTACTTGTCGCAACTCATCCTCCTTAGCACTGAGTTTCTCTTCTTGTTTTGTAACTTGCAGTAATGGTTTCACCTTAAATTTAGAACAAATTGGTTTTTATAAAAAAATAAAATATTAAAAATGTATGGACTTTTCTTTTTCATTTTGTCAGTGGATCACTACATTTATCTAATCAACCATAATACTTGCCATATTATATTTATAAAGTAACATTGAAATTTTCTTTTACATAATAAAAAATAATTTGTAGTAAACCTAGCAATAATTACAACTATTCACCCTCATATACAAAACAGTAGCCAATAAATGATTAAAACAAAATTAAAAATAACTAAGCAAAAATAGTTAAAAAATTTAGTTTTTATAAATAATGAAACTTAACAACTAAACTGAAAAATTAGTTTTAAGATCCCAAAGAAAATTATGATAGATAAATTTATAACAGTATGATGTTAATAAATAATAAAATTTTTAACTCAAATTACCTTTGTATAAAGACGCCACCATGACCAATTTCTTAATTTTAAATAAGCAGCACAATTTCTCTGAATGATTCGAATGGCATTAAGTTGTTGCAAACGTTTATGAAAGTTCCTGAAATGAAATTACCACATTAACTTTGAAAATAAATTGCACTAAAATTAATTTTTATGAATAAGTATGTTTATACCTTCTTGCCAAATTGCCTCGACAAAACGCTTGAAACTGTATTACTAAATCAGATATTTTATAATCCCTTTCTTCCTCCAAATGAGCCAAAACTCCAGCTCGGAAAAAGATTTTACTTTGTCCAATTCTATATAAGTTAGGATCCAAATCTAATGCATATATCTGAAATAACAAATAACTCAGTTTAATTCTATCAAAAATTCTAACTGATATCAAACTGAGTCTTAGCAACTAAGTATTTTAATAAAGATTATTAGTTTCATTAGTTTGTGGTACATCCAAGTTATACTTTCAACAGCATCATTTGAGGTCAACTGTTCAAGGAGAACATCCTACATCTAAGCAGCCTTATTTCTGGATACATTACCAGGTTCAATATATTTGCTTTGTTAAGTTGGTATGTTAAATTTCACAGAAACGAAGAAATTAGGTTTTTATTCTCGAGAAAAGTATTTTAAGCCCACATAGATTTTTTACGAAAATTGTCCGCAAAAAATGACAACTAATATATTTTAGTTCGCAGGCCACAAAATAAGGCTTCGCAGGCCGGATGCAGCCCCCGGACCGCCAGTTGGAAAACACTGAACTAGAACATATATCTTAAAAATATAATAAAAAATACCTTAATGTGCAAAACTTATTACATAATTCATATTTTTTTCACAGGTTGTTACAATTTATTTTGAATTCTTAAGAATTAAATATTTACTCCCAAATAAAATAATTTGGACAAAGCTCATTCTTTCAAGAAAAACACCTAATTTTTAAACTCCATATAAATCAAAAAATGATTTATGGCGCAGCCTCAATGATGTAAATAGAACACAATTCTTGCAGTGGGGGTCCCATGAGGTTTGAGGAAACATGCTCCAGAAAAGTTAACACTAATAAAATATTTTTTATACACCATCTTTAAAATTCACATTATAAATAACAATAACCCTTAACTAAATTTTGAATACAATTATTGTAAAATAGTGAGTTATTTTCTTGCATTATTAAAATTAATTTCATTTCAGTGATAAACAATGTTATAATTCAGTATGTTTTCGAAATTTTGCTTTTCATTTCAATTATGATTTTTATTATCTTAAATTAATGATTATAAATACCTATGTCTCTTTACCATAGTGTTTATGTTTCATATTATAATTTTAATTTTTTAAGGATAAAACATAGGGCATACTAGTAAATCAAGTAGAAAGGCGCACATAAGTCTATGTATGCCACTATGCAGCTAATTAAATTTCTAAAGGATTAATGGAAAATAAAAAATAAAAAGTTTAAAAACTAAATATTATACTATACCATTTTCTCACAAGCTAATTTTCCATCCATGAAACCTTTAGGTATTGCATTTGGGGTAAGTAGTTCATACCTAAAAAAAATATATTAACTAGACTTAAAAAATTTCCCAAAAAAAAGTATACTAATTAAAATAATGTGTAAAATGAGTATTAACCGTAATATAACTTAATATGATTTAGATATCTAAAATATTCATAAAAAATATTATTTCAGATCAGAAATGCACAGTTCACACATAAATTTTACATTGCTCTGGTTTTGTAAATCATTTATATTCCTTGTTAAAGTCATTAAATAAATAGCAGTACATTCAAGGAACAAGAAATTAATTTACTTTTTAAATTGAAAAGAAACACTTGACATAAAATTACAGAATAATTTGGATAATGTGTTAAAAAAAAACTCTAAAATTTGTTATGAATATGAAAACAAAAGAATTTTAAATAGCAAAAACAATAATAACAATTATTGTCAAATAGCCAAGTATCATTAGTGGCAACTGCAAGATTAGAAAAAAATTTCTGACTTTATAAAAATAATAATTGAAAATATTACAACTGGAATTAATGAAATTTACAAGGTCTGTCCCAGAAGTAGTAAGACTGGCGTGTTGGATAAAAAATACTTAATTGAAAATTTTTGCAAATATGCTCAAATCTTCAACATATGCTCTTTGAACATTTCTGCCATTGTTTCAAGCAATTTATAAAGTATCCTACCAGAATGTTCCTTAGGACTTGTGTCACAGTCTTGGGAATGATTTATATCATTTCCAAGACGGTGAATTGGGAAGGATAAAAATAATTAACTCTTCAATGGACAACTAACTCTTGGGAATGATTTATATCATTTTCCTATCTCTTTCGGTGTTTTTGAGAAAGAAGAAGAAAAAAAAGTGAATGACAAACTAAGTCTACGAAGGACGGAAGTGTCATGAATTTTTTTTCGAAATCCTTTACTAACAATACATGCCAACAGATATCATGTAATAAATTCCAAAAACGATTTGAGGCAGATCGCTTTTACTAAGGCCATGCTCATCAGCAATTTATCTTAGATATGTCCAATCAGAATCCTGAACAGCATTTATACGGTGTATTTAATTTTTGATATGGAGGGCACCCTGGAGCACTCCTTATCTTCCATATATTCTTGAGCATTTTAAAACATATTGTGTCAACTATTGTTTAACACAAAGTGAGATGGCATAGTAAATTTTCTGTGTATCAGGACTCATGAAGCTACTCAGGAAATTTTTCAACTAGTCTGAGATACTGACCTTCCCAGAGATAATAGATGACTGAGTTAAATCTCTTTTTTATTACTATTACTCCCATTCACTTAACATGTGCTGCATTACATTGCAACTACTGTAAAGAATGATTCTCATTACTTTTACCGCAGTCCCTGTATAAGATCTAAAAACTATATTAATAGTCCACTGCTCGATAATGAAAATTGATTTTGAGTTAAACAACAATAATAAAAAAACAAATGAGTACTACATGAATATAAAATTACAAGCATCCTCCTCAGTTTAACTAGAAGTTGAAAGAGAATGGTAAAATATATAATATTTTGTGTAACAGATTCCTGTTTTATTTTTTTCAAAGAAAATTAGCAGAAAGAAAAAGTCATTGACAGAAAATGCTTCAAATTTAATAGCAAAAGGGAATTAAATCATGATATTAAATTGAAACAAAGCAAAAAACATTTACAAATATAGCGTTTTTAAGTGAAAAAAAGCTAAAAATTACCTCTGTCTAAACTCTTGGAATGCAATTCGATTAGGAAAACCTTGTCGACATATTCGAATTCCTTCTAATACACCATTACATCTTAATTGATCCAACACAAGCAAAGCATCGATTTTTCCAGCCTAAAAATTCATTCAACAATAAACAAAAATTGTTTTTAGAATAGATAAGCTAAATGTTAATTTAAATACAGTGGTACAAAGTTTTCTATATTAGAAACAGTGACTTGCTTCAAAAGTCTAACAGCAACAACGAACTAGGTAAAAATTTCTGGAAAATTTGTATTATGTTTAAAATAACCAATAGTTAGAAGAATATACCACAGAATAATATAAAAAGTTAAGCTTTATTTGCAAACACAATTGATTTTAATCTTTAATAGATTTATGTATAAACATAATTATTTTACTGCCTTCTTAATATATCTACATCCAAAAATAACATTCTTTACTTTGAAATTTTAAGAGTAAGATTATATACAAAATAAACATTTTCAATTATCACTACTAATTATTTTTGAAATAAACTTACTCTTAGAAAAAAAATACAATTTATTTTTATGCCCAAATAATAAAAGAATCAAAAATTAAATACCAGCATCAATTTTAATATAAATTAGTATCACAGACATTTCAAATATTATCAATATACAACTTAATATCAGAGTAGCACAACAAAAAGCCTCAATAAAATCTTTCACTCATTAAAAAAAAAAGTATACAGTAGAACATTCGACAATAAAAAACTTAAAAATATAAACCACAACAAAAAAAAAGAAGTTAAAATCAAATAAAAAGACTAGTAATGTGTATTTTTGGAAAAGGTTATGTTTTTAATATTAAAAATAATGTTTAATGACTGAATTTATAATAGAGTATGCTAAAAGAAAATTCGGAATTTAAACACTTATTGCTATTCGTTCAGAATTCTGAATTTTATTATATTTAAAAATACATGCTCTTACATTAAACAATTTGCTTTTAAAATTATATTAAAATTTTCTTATACTTAAGTTTATTTAAATTTTGGTGACCGTTTACTTGAATTTTACCTGAATGCTATTTTTTAATCATTAAAAAAATGAAATTTAAAAAAAAAAATTTAACATTGAAAATGATCGTTAACCTGAATCAAAAATATTAAATACAATAAACTTTTATTGTCAATTTTAAATTACCTACCACTCTAAATGCTAAAATTGTTTACAATGAAATATTTATTAACCACTTTATTTACTGGTTTCCAGGTATTATACCTTTAGTGGCTGTGTTTATTTTTAACTGTTGAAACAGCCTTTGGTTTAAAGAATTAAGAAGTTAGAATAAAAAGTTTTTAAAAAAAATAGATAAATAAATCATTCTATTTTTTGAACAAATCTAGTCTTAGGAGTATTAAAATAGTTTTTATTAATCAACAAATTTAATGAGTTCTTAATCATCAAGTAAAACTTTAACATTATGAAAAATAAGTAAAAACATAATATCAATTCCAAAAACTTTAAAACTTTTCAACCTAACACTAAACCCAGAAAAAAAAATTTCTAAATTGAAAGATATATTTTTTGTCAAAATCATAGCATTTTCTTTCTATAAAATGTCTAATCTTTAGCTTGAATACATCGATATCTTATAGTGCAGAAGAAATATTTATTATGCTTTAAGATAGTAAGAGAAACACTTACCCTTTTTTCATGGTTAGGAATGATACATCGCACAAAATTTGGATTAGTATTGCGCAGAGTAGCCATTAACTTAGCTAATTGTTCCTTGTACAGTTGACTAACTGTTCTAAACATGCCTTTTCGAGTTCTAGCACCAAACTGAGTATCACCCATAGTGGCTGCAGCCATTCCAACAATTTCAGCTACAAAAAGAGTCATCGAAAAGTTATGAGAAATATGAGGTTAGAATTTTATAAATTTTTATATCAAGCTATAGCTGCTAAAAATAAAAATTTCTTCAAAAAGAAAAAAAAAGCTTTTGTAATTTATATTAATCCAACTGATGCAATTCATTTAAGAAAATTTCTAGAAATATAACAAAATGTAATATTTTTAAACTCAAATACTTCGTTACCGTAAAGAGCACATTTAATCTCAATAATAAATAAAAAAAGATTTCATTAAACAAAAATTTTATAAAAGTTTTACAATGAATAATACAAAAACAGAAAAAATGTCCATCTTGCTCTTGCCTCAACATTTGGAGGGACATCACAAACTCAAAGTATAAAATAAGTAGCTAACTTCTTTTCCGGGCAAGCCACAATATCTATATAAAAAAGGATGAGGAAAAGAATGTCTTTTAGGAAAAAAAAATTTTTCATCTTCAAATAAAAGTTAACCAAACAGCCATTTCTGACACTTCATTTCCAAGAAACTCTATTTCCATTGATCCCTTTGAAGAGACAATTTATGTTTGCCTCAATAAAATTCAAAAACTGTTTAGTAGAATCATAGAATTAGTTAACAAAAAATTATGTAGGGCCAGTTATTAAACTAACTAGATAAGCAATGCATATTTATCAAAAAAATAAATATAACTGAAAAGCCTTTACTTACCATCTTTCCAAATATACACCACAAATGGGTCAGTTGAATTCTGGAGTAATGACACAATATTTTCATTCAGTGGATCCATATTCTTAAGAAGCCATTTATCAGCAGAATAATCAACCTAAGAGAGAAATGCAACAGTTATTGATGTTCACACAGTTCAAAAACTAAATCTAAAGCAAACAATACATACCTTGCCAGCATAATGTATGATACTGAAATCAGCATTTGCTCTAAAATCCGATTTGATATACTTAGGGTGAACAGCATGTGATGTATCAAGCTTATCTACAAAGGTTTTGACAGTAGCTTTAGGAAACCAACATTCTTCATCTAAAAGGGCAAGAACTCCCATTGGCTGTAAAAAAAAATAACAAGAAAGGCATTTTACGTATAAGACTTTTAAACATTTGAGGATTGAACTTAAAAAAGAAACTCCATTATCTAAATTTTTTTTTTACAAAAACATTAGTCAAAATGACAGATAATGGAACATTCCACTTATAGAAATAAAACTCAGTAAAACTAAATTATTTTACAGAAAAAAAGTTAAATATCCCTTATTAAGCAATAATTGACTGCTGTTCTTCATCCCATAATTGCATAAAAAGCTATACTAAAACTAAATATTTTCCCTTGTTATTTCTCAACAGCAAAACAAGTCAGTCAAAGTAAAAGAAATCAGAAAGCAACAATTTTTTTTCTAATACAACTCTTGTGCATCCCTGAAAAGTCTCCAGTTTCAACTCCTTTGCATTTCCCATTGTTAAGGTAAGTTGACTATCATAGCTTGCAGAGAAAGAGGGGAAGATAGTTAGCAAACAAATTCTTGAGCATTTTGGCAATCTAAGGGTGATGATATTTTGTATTTGATTGCGTTTGCAGGTTTGCGTGGTTCGTATATTACAAGCTCATAAAGATAATGTCGATCTGATTTTAGATAAACAACAACAAAAGCAATAAATGGTGGATTAATTATTAATATGCGTTTATTAGGAACATCGCATTGGTCTATCTCAAGACGCAATGAAATCCAACAAGGAAGTAACTTTTTTTAATTAATGTAGGTGGCGCTACTATTACTACATACATACCGGCTTCAACAAAGGGAGCTAGGGAAATTAAGATCCCGGAAACCAGAGAGTTGAAGAGTGGTGAAAATTTTGAATCAGTAAGAATTGTGTGAAAAGTTTCATTTGCATTAATGGGTCCATAAAACTCACAAAGAAAGAAAAAAAGTACTTAGTAAATTTTACGACATTACTGAAACATTATAGTCATGAGAGAGTATAATTTCAACAAAAACACTGATATGAGGTGGGGCAGTCATGAGAACATGGAACTTATATTGGTTAATTATAAAATATTGAAATCTTGTAGCTATTGTGAATTCTGTTGAAAAATATTGAGAGTACAAATTAGTTCGGTCAGTTTTTTTTTTTTTTTTTTTTTTTTTTTTTTTTTTTTNTTTTTTTGTGGTCGAAAATGCATTTATTTTTGAACAAAATGAATGAACAGATTAATCAAAGTATTGTCCATTGCTGGCTACTTCTTTTTCCCATCTCTCAGGCAATTTTCGAATTCCATCTCGAAATTATGTCTCGCCTTATGAGGTAATTCAAGTTAGGGGTCAATTTTTGATTTCTGCGAATAAAGTGAACCGGTGACCTGCCAAATCGTGCTGCATTCGTCAGAACAACCAGTTATCAGAAGGAGCAATGTTCGATGAATACGGTGGGTGTGGTAAAATATCCCACTTGAACGTTTCCAAATAATTTTTTACGACTTTTCCTACATTAGGCAGGCTGTTATCACGCAGAAGAATAACTTTGTCATGTCTTTGCTCGTATTCCGGCCGTTTTTCTCATAATGCACGACTCAAACGAATCAATTGCAGCCTACGGCGATCGCCAGCAATAGAATCGCCAGGTTGTAGCAGCTCATAGTATACAACACCATTCACCTTTCCCCATTTATCATTCTTCTTTCACCATTCTTGAAACATTGAAACCATTCCCTACATGATTTATCAGTTGAAGCATTATCACCATAAACTTTTACAAGAATTCGATGCACTTCAACTGCACTTTTCTTCCAATTAAAGCAGAAACATAAAACCTCCCGCAAATGCTGCTTAGTTAAGACAAAGTTTGACACATTCAACACAGCAAAAAACAGGATTTTTTTATGAAACTCAAAACGATATAAACTGAATATTATTGAAGGATGTCTAATCTCTGAAACCACTGAAACTAGCTGTCACTATGAAACATTCATAACAGCCAGAGCCATCTTTTGAAAATGGACCGAACTAATTTGTACTCCCAATATCTGTTGGCAGATAACTTTGGATTAGGAAAAATACTAAGTTTCCTTTTGAAAATAAAGGAAATTTTATTATATTTTATTCCTTTTGAATATCAGTCTGTTTCAGTATAGATCCTTTGATAATATATAATTTTTTTGATACAGCTGTTGGTAGTCATATGACCTAAAAATGATTTATCTAAAATAACGGAATCTTTTCAATACACTATGATAGTGTTGCTCATTTTTTTTCCTAGTTGCTTTTAAAATCAATAATAACAGAAGTGAAAATAAAGATCATAAATTAAATAAATACTAAACATTTGTTATTATAAGATATAGGTTACAGATAGTAATAGAATAATTAAGATTTTAAAAGCTCATAGCATTAATAAAAGATTACTTGATAAAACAACATACTTTTTCTATTAGATCAATAGTTGGTTGTAAATCAAGACCAAAATCTATAAATTTCCACTCTATGCCTTCTCTTTGATATTCTTCTTGCTCCAATACAAACATAGTATGATTAAACAGTTGCTGCAGCTTTTCGTTCGTGTAGTTTATACATAGCTGTTCAAATGAGTTTAACTAAAGAAAGAAAGCAAAGAAAATTGACTGAAAGGCATTACAGCAGTTTACATTTGGATTTTATTAGATTATTGAAAGAGTAAATTACTATTAGATAAATAAATAGCTTAAAACATACAAAATATAGTGCATTAAAACTCTGGACAATTATAAAATTAATTAATAAACTCTGAATGAAGTATATCATTCTTATTATAAAAAATAATTTTTATCAATATATATATAAATATATACATCGAAAATATTGATTTCCATTTTTCAAAGAAAGTATTAAAAACATCACTGAAAATTAGGCAAAAGTTTTGGATCTTTATTTTTGATACTTTAAATGAAACTTCATTAATAAAAGTTTGCTTTGTACTTGCTAATAATTCAACGCAATTGTATTTGAGACTGGTCCAATATAATTTATATCTTAAAACATAAAGAATATTAAATCAACAGTAACTTATAATTGAAAATTTCGAAACTTATCATTAAAAATATATAGACATAGATAACAAAATAGTAACTCACTTCAAATATTTCAAATCCAGCAATATCAAGTATACCAATAAAAGAGGCTCCTTGTCGTTTCGTTCGATCAAGAGAACGGTTTATTCGATTAACTAGCCACCTAAATAATCTCTCATAGCATGCTTTAGCTATAGCTTCCACAGAAAATTCAGCCTATAAAACAGCAAAATCAAAAAAGGTAATAAAAGTTCTTATTTTTACTTTTAAAAAAAATGCCATGAGAAACTTTAAGAAATTTAAAAGAAATCAAGAATAATTTTAATTACAAAATTCTGATAATAAATGTATACTTCAACTCAAAATATGACAAAATATCTAAAACAATTAAAACTTAAAATTTTAAAATGATTATTAACTACAAACTGGATGCAAACTTCTAAAAAAATTTAATTAAACCTTTATTCTTCTGACAACTAGGTACCACTCCTTGAATAATTTAAATACCATCATATTCTTAAAAATTTTTCTCAGACAAAAAGAAAGCAACAACAACCTATCAATAAAAGATTTTCATAGAGCAGGAAAATTTAATTTATGTTTACAATATTTAGTTATATTATTCTATAACTTAATTCATATAATTGGTAATTAAAGAATATTTATTGAATTTTAAATCAACATAAAATAATTTGTTACTTTTATGCCCAACAACACGTGTAAATGAATTATCTGCTAAAGAGGTTATATTAAATAAGTATTTATACTGCTCTTAGCATTGAAAAGATATAGAGTTTTTAAATTGCATCAGCATTACTAGGTGAGTGTAATATCTGGTCAAAGGTATTCGAACACCTAGAACTTCAGATTTGGAAAGTCTTTAGCAACATTTTAATAACATGCTAGTCCCCTTGTTTGCATCGATGATAGTTCTTAAACCAGTTACTATCATTTTGACAAGTGGCCATAAAAATTTACATCCAGGCATTCAACAAAGCTGAAATATGATCAGGCAGTGAAGATGGTAAATTTGGCTGACTACTGAATTTCTATACTAAAGTTGTGCCAATATGGAAGATATAGTTTTAGTTTGAAAGGGATGGTCTAGTTTCTGAAAGAATTTTTTTTTCAAACCATGGTTGCGTAAGTCTGATGTGTGAATCGATTAATTATCCTGTTGGGAAGGAAATTTGCCTCCCCCAAAATATTGACTTAGAGTGGCAGAGCAGTATTTTTCAGAATGTCCACTATATCCGAGTTATGTTCTCAACTATAGGAACTAAGTGATTCAGGCAAACCTAGTAGTAGACCAAAGAAAAAAATCAGGACAACATATTTCAGAAAGAATGTATCTTATTACCTGTTCCTTAGTTTGTGCTTTGCTCACAAAATCTCTTCCTACTTTAATCCTTGGTCTTATAAAAGCTCTTGTCATGTCAGTAACTTTTAAGCCTAACAGAGTGCCTATTTTTTGAGCAACAGTTGTTTCCATCAAAAATGCTTGGTCAGAATTTCTTTCTTGCTGGAATTCCATGTTTCCAAATAAAAGGACAGAAGAGAGTATTTTGAAAATAGCTGGAATATTTTTAACAATTAGGAAAAAAATATAAACAAAAATCAATAAAAAATATGTTAACAATGGCAATTTAGACTATAAGCACTAACATCTATGCAGTTTAATGAAATTTAAAAAAACAAAACAAGCCATTTCTATGTTAGCTGATGTCAATCATAAGAAATAGATTTTTTACAACAACATGGAAAAAAATTGTGATTAACATAGAAACTTTTCACAGTCTTAGCCAAATCTCACACTTACATACAGGAAAGTAATGGCAAGTGTTTGACAACATTAAGGCATTATATAGTATACACTTCTGTTAAAAGGTAAAACAATATTTTCAGTCATGTACTGTTAGCAATTAGGGTGATTTCCACTAAAACTTCAAAACAGTGTCATAAGCTACACTAATAATGCCTAACAATATGAATCATTACACAGCTGTTGACAATTGGGAGAACTCGGCAATTAATAGATTACAAACAATCACTACAATAATGTATAATAGCCCAGGTCAGGGATATAATAATATAGCCCAGACCTGTCACTGTCAAATTACCATTTATTCAGTCTCAACGAAACTCAGGATTGAAAATAAGCAAATTTCTAAAAAGGTACAGGAAAATGAATCAAACTACAGCCAGTCCAAAGCAATGAAATTTTGGTAATACCAAATTAATCACAATTGGTTATCAAATAAGATTATGTTAATTTAAGTTCATAATGTGATTTTGGAAAAATAAAAAACTTATCTTCAAAGATAACTAACTAGAAGTTCAATGCTTATTAGACAAAAGTTTTCTTCCACATAGAAAACTAAGAGGTAACTTTAAAAGAAAAAAAAAGGGGGGAAGGCTAAGATTAAGAAGATAATGAAAGCTTGAAAAAATATACAGGATAAAAAAGGACCTATAAAAAAATTTATAATTTTTTCCAGCAGTTTTTAAAAGCTAAATTAGTGCGTTTGCAATTGTGACTGCAAATATAAAAACTATGAACTCTGTAGTAGAGACATTCTTGTTTACAGTAATGATTTAGGTTAAAATAACTACAGTCTAAAGCGAATTCAAAGAATACAGACTTAACATAACATTTGATAAATAAATATAAATTTCAAAATATTTGCATCATAATTTTTGTTAAACGATTAAGTGATAGAAATACAGAATTAGAAAAAAAGTTTTTTAGTTAAAACATTTTCAAGCAATATAAAATTTAACATTCATTAGTTTGAAACATAAAACTTGAAATTTTAAAAAACTATAAAATGTTAAAGTTTAAAAAAGAAAAAAATGTATGATAATAAAAATAAAAGTTGAAACCTACAAAATAAATCTTCTGGAGATAAACCCATTATAGACATAGCACTAACAGTATTTCGAAATTCAAGACCATCATCAACTCCTGGAACAGCCAATCCTCCACAAGTCAGAAACCTATAGTTTTTAGGATCTTCTAACAGAAATTCTTCTGCAAATTAAAATAAAACATGTTTTTAATTTAACACTGTACAAAAGGAAATATAAATTAAGAATGGAAAGTAATTATAGCACATTAAAAACTAATAGTTGACAAAATATATAGAATATTAAAGATACATTATCAATATCTTTTTAAAATAAAGAATAAATCAAACAAAAATTGAAAAATAAATAATGTAATCTCTTAAATTAAATTTTAATTTAAAGAAATTATACATTTATTAAAACATACTTTTCTGTTCTTCCGTTGTACCAGCAAGCATTTGATAGAATATATGGAAAGTACGCTCATCCTTAGCCTGACGAATTGCACGAGATTTCTCTAAAAGATCTATTGATTAATTAAGAAAAATGTTCTACACTGACAAGTAAAATATTGTTTAAAATTTATGACACTCTTGATATTTTAATATATTTTATGTAAAAAGGATACATGTTTCAATATTGGCACCAGCTATGAATCCAGAAGCATCAAAATTGATTCTGATAAATTTTCCCTAAAATATTTAAAAAATATATCAAATACATTAAAATCAAAAATTTTCCATTCATTACAGAGCTACATAATGCTTAAATAATAAGTTGTAATAAGAACAATTTTGCAATATCTACCACTGAAGGAACAATTGAAATTGAGATTTGCATGCAATTATAAAAGCTTAAACAATTGTAAAAATTAGTTTCTGTCAATAAGAAGCAATAAGTTGTAAAAAAAAAAATATTTAAATCAATCAAAAAAGCTTAATAACTTTTAAATATTTATTGCACTTAGAAAAAAAGCGCCTATATAAATTGAAGCTAGAAAAAAAGTTGCTTAAATCTTAATATATAACTAGGGAAAAATATGCCTTTATCAAGACTATAAGAAATCAACTTGCTTCTAAAATTTTGACTTCAGTTTATCGCTGATATACAGAGCCGGATTATACCTTTCGAAGGCCCTAGGCACAGAGCCGGATTATACCTTTCGTAGGCCCTAAGCATAGCCGTTTTTGGGCCCTCCCCTCCTTCCCCCACTCCTCCCCTCTTTACAAAATATATGCTAAAATTTTCTTGCATATTTTTTTTTTTTACATTTTTATTAATATGGATTTTAATTTACAAATTTGTTTATCGAACTTTATCTGCAATACCAACAAGTGTAATGCATAAAGTAAGAGAAAAAAGAAAGGTACTCCTAACTTTAAAGAGAAAAAAAATGGTAGAAATATAACATTTAAAAGAATAAAAAAATTTACAAGTTTAGACAAGAAAAACAAGTTTAAAAAATACAAAATTCTCATATTTATTTTTTAAAAATAATTACAATTCCTAAATTAACTTATATAAACAAAACCAATGATTAAATAACGCAATATATTTCATACCTAATTAAACGGGGGGGGGGACAATAAAATAAAAGGAAAACTTATTAATCTAAATCAAAACACTTGAAAATTATTGAAATGTTTAAACTTCAGACAAGACTTTTATTTTCACTTTTTTTTTATATAATTTAAAAAAGCAATATAAAAAAACATTCCTATAATAATAATGTGAACAAAAAAGAAAGAGAAGTGAGATATAATGAAAATAGCAAGAGAAAAATAGATAAAAATATTACTTACAAAACGAGATGAATTATCGTTTTTTACAGTCTTTGCATTTCCAAATGCTTCTAATATTGGATTTGCTTGCAATAATTGTTGTTCCAGCTCACCCTGAAAAGAATTATGAATCTATATACATTAATTTATGCAAAGACAATAGCACGAAAAATTTACCATACATTAAAAAATAATTTTAAAAAATTCTTTTTAATTTTAATCCATTACATACCCCAGATGGCAGCTGCATGCAAAGGAAATAGTCATAAATAACAGAAATATTTATCATAAAACTAAAATCTATATAAGATCATTATTTATTAATGTGTGATATAGAAAACTACTCACGATAATTTGTGCAGGAGTGAGAGAATTATTCTGAAAATAAAATATAGAAAATATAGAACAGAATACTAAAGCAAGTTTAAATTTTAATGATAAAGAATGATAAAAACAAGTATTGAAATATATGTTTAAATTTCCTCACCTCTTAATTATATTTGCTACATTGGAAAATAAAACACATTACTTTAAATAAGATAAAAAAACTAAAAAAAAAAAAGTGTTAACAATAGTGATATTATGTAAAAATCATCCTTAGAAAGCACATTAAATACAAATAATTAGAGTAAATACAAATAATTAGAGTAAATAGAAAAATACAAATTTTATATAACAAATTAATAAATTAGCAACACGGTCTCAAGTAAGTTATTCTTTGCTTTAACAAAACGATTTTCAACAATAGATTTTTATTAAGAAAAACAAATATAATATGTTATATAATTGCAATAAATAAAAATAAACAAATTTAAAATAACATGTAAGTGTGCAAAAATGACTGTTGTTCAAACATTTATATAGCAATTCAAATTTTTTTGGTAAAAAAAGAGAGAGAGAGAGAGAGAGAGAGAGAGAGAAAAGTTAAGGAGGAGAAAGTTAAAAACTAAGTGCAGCAATTACTTTTTTTAAAATGAAAAGACAAATATTTAATTTAATAAATGACTTCTTAACTAAAACATGCATTAAAACCAGGGTTGGCAAGTTTTTGACACATGACGGTTTTTACCATGGTTTTTACCGTTATGTCAAAAACCCCTCTGTCAAAAATGTCAAAAACTGTCAAAAACCCATAGTTTTGGAAAAATAATTTTGAGTATTTAGTAAAATAATTGATAAGTATTTGGTAACATTTTTTTGAATATTCTCAAATTTTGGACTTATCCATACTAAACTAAGAAATCGACTGGGCAATTAAAAATGCGCAAAATTAGTCACTTGCGATGGTATGCTTCAGCACAGTGACCCTGACTACTGAACATGTAATTTTGTTTGTAATTAAGTTTTGCTTAATGTGCTTTTTTAACTGAATAAAAGCTTTTCACTTGACAAAATAGCAGTAATTCTTCACGTAGAGTTTGTTAGAAGTTACAAGTTTTGTTTAGCTTATTTCTAATATTTAAGAAATGCCAAATTTTAAATTCTTCATTTTAGTTCTTGAATTTATTAATAGTTCCAAGCTTTTTTGTTTGTTTGTTTATTTCTAACAATTAAGAAGTGCAAAATTTTGAATCCTTTGCAAATCAAGCTATAATGATAAAAGTAAGTATCACTATTTTCAATAAGTATATTACAATATTTCTGTATGAATGTATATCCTTCTATAAGAATACATGTATATAGTTGCAAAATCAATAGCAATCATTTACAACATTCATTTATAAAGGCAATTATGTGAAAATAATATATTATCTGCTATATGCCATAAATTAAAGAAAGCAGTAGGTTTTTGGCGGTTTTTCCACTGTCGTGTCAAAAACCAGTTTTTGACGGCAAAAACCCAACCCTGATTAAAACACATATTTTTAAGTTTAGATGAATTCTCAACTAAAATGTGAAAAACTAAAATTTACTTATAGAATTACTTTATAAAATTCTCTTAACTATTTTTAAGTATATTCCATTCCAGTTATATCTACTATTAAAAACATTTAAGTAATGTATTTAGAATATGAGTAATATAAAGCAAATTTAGAAATATATTTAGTTGAAATATTCAAAAATATATGGTTATGCTTGATGCGAAGCAGTTTAACTTTTAAATTGTATAAAATAAACATTTTCTTTTTTAAATAACCCCAAATCCCTTAGTTATATAATAATTAAATAAAATTATTAGCATAATAGGAATATGATTGAAAACTATTGTTAATTATTGAAGAACTGGGATTAAATCCCCGGTGACGGCATAAAGTCTGCACAGTTACAGATTGATTGGTACCAGATTTTCTTTTATGTAAAGGCAGTCGGTGCTCAAAGGTGATCGCATTTTCTCCATTGTTGTTCACTAAAATTGTTGAAAATTAGCCTCCAGGATCCCTCTTGGCAAACAATAGACTGTGGCAGGAATGCTTTACTTTTTTTTTTTATAAATTTGATTAATAATTTTATGACAAAATTTAAAAGTCATGTCCCTAAATTATGAAACTTATAACAAGAAATATAGCCTTAGTGTAATTTTGAATTTATTTATTCATTTAGTAAAAGTTAGTGAATTAAGATTCTCTGCTAAGATCCTTTTAATCAAAGAATTTTCAATAAACCTTGAAAAAGATTGATAAATTGTAGCAACAATATCCAATGTCAAAAATAGATAGGTTAGATCACCTATTATTTATTCTACTTTTAGAATCATATTTATCACTAACATTATACAATAATTTGTAAAACCACATTATTTTTTACTTGACAATCATACTAGCTGGACATGAAAAAATTTGAAAATTTAAACATGATTAATTTAAGCATGAATAACTAAGATTTAATATTAAAAATAATTTACTAGTTAAGAAAATAAAATATTTTAATTTATCTTTTTAAATGAATATATTTATAAAACTTACAATAAATGCAGCAAACTAAAATAAAATCTATGAACTTTAATTCTAAATATCAATGAATGTGAAAATAATATATTATCTAAATGTTTGCTAAATTTTTGAATATTAAATTGTAAAATTGCTTAGGGAAAAATAGCTTTCATGCTTAACGTACTTTATTAGTCTATAATAGCTAAAGCATTTTTCTGAAGAGATTAAAACACAACAAAGCCCTTATAAATATAGCAATAGCAATTTAAATTGAGTACATTTAAAGAATATAGCACGACATGCAGGAAATGTAAATGTGTTTGAAACATAAAAAAAGAAGCAATATTTAAAAATTTTCTGTAAATACTTACAGGATGATGAAGGGAAGATGAACGTGGTTTTGATGATGCTACATATGCTAAGTACTGGATTACTTTTTTTGTGTTTTCAGTTTTACCAGCACCTGATTCACCCCTAAATAAAAAATAAATAAATAAAATAAAATAAAAAAAACATGCATTTAACTTTGAGCAATATGATTTATTTAACACACACAAATCTTGATTCTTGCATTAAGCTCTAAGAAAATTTTAACATAACATTACCATTCCTTCATGTGACACTAAACAAGTTATATCTACACACTTCATAAAAATTTCCTCAGTTACAAAATAATTTGCTTATGAAATTGTGTTTTTAGTGTGTTGTTTTCAATTCTTCAGAGAATTTATTAATTTAGTAAAAAATATTCATGTTTGTTAATGAAAACATGCTAACATAGAAAAATTTATGTTGATATCAAATGAAAATTACAAATCCTCTACCCCATAAATTGATAGCACGTATTTTTATAATAATAATAGCTTTTTAAAACATAATGGATCTAGTCTAAATTTCAAATAAAAAATGCAAGAATAAGTATAGATTCCTAATCACAAAGTTAAAATCTGTAACAGACAGCAAAAATAAATAAATAAAATAATTAATTAAAATAAATAAAAAATTAAATAAGTTAAGAATTAATGGACAAAGAGAAAATTTGTAAAAACTTACGTGCAAAGGATAGATTGGTCTTCACGGTCTGAAAATAAAAAGTGGAATTTTATTTTAATTCATTTGAAAGAAATATATTAAGTAAACAAAAAATTTAAACTAATATTACAATGATATTAAAAACTTAGGAAAAACCTATTACATTGTTAAAAATTGTTAAAAAATTTTTTGAATTAAAATTAAATTTGAACAAACAAAGGTTATAATACCTAAAAGTGTTTGAATTAAGAACTATGGATTTTTACTGGATAAAGGTATGGATTTTCTTTTCAGATTTAATATTCATGGGGGGAAAAAAACAGGCCAATACGATTTTAATTTAGACAGGATTTTATAGTTTTAGGATTATTAGCAATGAACATTTTTCTAATCCTTATTAAAAATTCATTCAAAAGGAATTATAGCCTTTACGGGTGGGAAATTAATATTTAAACAATAGGTGTATGGATGATTTTTCAGAATGTGTGACATTCAAGTGGAGTAAAACACAATTTTGATTTATAAAAGGTGTGTTTTTTTTAAAATACCAATTAATAATAAGATTAATCTATACACTATTGACTATCATAAAACATACATTCAACACACGACTTCAGGGTTGTAAAAAACCCTAACCCATTGGGTTTTTTCAGTGTTTATTTGGGTTTTTTCAAACTTAATTGAATTTTTCATCATTTTGTTTATTTTTTTAAAGTCTTAGACTAAGTCTTGCTGAATTAATAAATGATATTAACTTTATTAATAATTAAGCCATTAATAATCATGATTATAAAAACATTTTATTATCAATGTATGTCATTTACATTGATAAATTAGCAATAATACTTTTAATGTGAGTAATAGGGTTCAATTACCATTTTAGGATTTATCTATTCCATTTTCGAATAAAGTTGGGAAAAAAAACTGCTAGATGTTTAAGTAAAGAAATAAATTATTTTAATTCAAATAAAGGACATCAATTTTCAAAGTAAATTTTTAATTTGAAAAATGTATCTATTCAATGATACATTGCATTACTTTTTTGTGTTATTAGGTCCTTTGATATGCATGTACTGTAAAAAAAAGATGAAAGAGAGCTTCGATAATAAGCTCTAGTATTTCAACAACAAGGAATTCAAAGCAAGATGTTTGAATATGTATTTCACCAGTTAAAAGATGCTACATTCTAAAAGTATTATTTAAAATACATTTTTATAAATAAATTATTTCCCTATTTCATTAAATTGTTATTCTAATAATTTTTTTTGTCTCCTGTTATGAGAGTGATTTCAAATTGTATTGTGACTGTGAATTAGTATCTCAAATTTTTGTGAGAATACCTTAGTACATTATTTCCACTTCTTAATAATACATGTTTTTAAAAATGTTAATTAAAAATTTTTGAGCATAGAATATGGAAGTAATAGAAATATAAATGTTTCAACGTATGTTGTTTGTATCTCAATGTATTATTAACTCAATACTTAGAGCTGACTTGTTAACAATAAAATGCAATCATGAAAAAACCCACTTGGTTTTTTTCAAGTGAGTATCTCCAGGAAAAAAACTCCATCCGGGTTTTTTCGGGTACGGTAAAATTACAACAGCACTGCATGACTTTTTACTTCATCTCAAACTGCATAATTTTAATATTGTAAGTTTTAGTTTTAAATTTCCATCTCAGAACTATTCAATTGATTCCCTCTTCAAATTTTGGACATTGCCAGTTAAAATTGAACAGTTTTAAAATTATGTAAATATTTGTGTATCTAACAATTCAAATATTTTTTGACGATCATTAAATTAAAGAATAAAAAAATTTTAATAATAAAATATTCATAATCATGTTGATTTATCTTTTATAAAAATTTATAAATAATAAAATATTAATAATCACGTTGCTTTATCTTTGGAAAACTGAGTTTTACAATTGTATTAAAATATTTTTAGGTTCTCTTAAGAAGTATTAGAAATATCGCAGACTACGCAAAAATTTAAATTAACATTATGGGCCACTAACTTCTGCTCAAACTACCAAGCTTTATTTAATTTTCCTAATTATGGCAATTCCCCATTTTTTGGAGGACGAAAAATCAAATCAGTTAAAAAAAAATGTTTATTCAGAGAAATTAGGTTTTTGTGTCTGCCTTGCTTTACTGCTTTAAAATATCGATTAAACAAGAATTACAGCATATTTAAGGCTAGCCGGCCCTTTCAACCATTAAGATCGGATCGAAGTCCGTGAAAATCCAATTATTAGATCAAAATGTATTAAAGCTGTTCCGCTGCATTAGGATAAAGGACGGATCTAATATCGTTTGATATATCTAAATAGCGCATATATTAATTTTAGTTAAAAAAAAATCAAACACGAAAAATTTTTAAATTTTAAAGTGTCGCACTCAAACTATGGTTTCAAAAGTACAGAGACCGGTTTAAAATTTAAACCTGTTAATGTTTTTTACTATTTTCAGCGTATTTCGGAATATTTTTGGAACTAACAAAAAAAAAATCAAAAAACTAATTGCACCCATTTATAAAACTCGTTTGGTCGAAGATAACTTTTCTCAAAAATAAATTTAAATAACACTTAAAAAAATTCTCCTCCAAATAAAAGTAGTCCAAATTAAATAAAATCCAAAACTTAAAGGAAATCGGGAGAAAAAAAAAATTTTCTCTGCCTTTTTTTAAAATTTTAATAAAAATTAAAACTTATTGAATCCATGAAACTTTTTAAGTGATTTCAGTCATATTTTACAGATTATAATTTAAAAGTAGGTAGTTTAAGCGGATGTAAACATTTTTATACCTTATGCTCCGAATGTTTTTTTTTTTTTTTTTTTTTTTTTTTTTTTTTNGAGGGCATAAATAAAAAAATTTTTTAAATTAGTGTCTATCGGAATGAACGAGTAACGATTTTGAAGTAAACGGGATATAAAGGTGAATGCAAGTATGTTTTCTTTTTAATTACCATAATTAATTCCATAGATTTCACTGAAATCGGTGAAATAAGATTAAAGCCAAAGGAGCCGAAGGTTCAAACTTTTGAGCGCTCTCCCAACCAAACAATGAAGACCGCATTTCGCAGATTGCGGCTACCCCTTTTATTTTGGGGACCAGAAATCCGAATCCTTCGAAAAAAGGTATGTTTGTTCAGAGAAAGTACGTTTTCGTGTCTGATTTCGTAACTTAAAATATCGTCTGCACTAGTGAATTAGCATATTTGAGGTCACCCCCTCAAATCATTAAGACTGAGTCCTTAAACGCAAAGATCCGATCATTAGATCAAAAGTTATTCAGAGTAATCAGTTTTTTTTTCCTTCTGTACATTTAAAAATCCGGCCTTCGTTCACTTTACACTATGCATGATCAATTACTAAATAAGTTAATTTAATATTTTCTTTTCCTATTACAAGCACGTAATTGACTCCGTATTGGCAAGTGCCGATACGTAATTGGCTCCGTTTTTGAAATGATAAGTATTGTGTAGAATTTGGCTAAATGTTCTTTTTTTAAGATAAAATACTTTGAGAAGGATCCATTTTAATGAAAATGTAATTAATTTTTGTGAAGGTCTCGCTAACGACACGAATTGCTTCGAAACAGACACCTGCCTACACTTATACATTATCGAGTTAAATGATTTTTCACCTTGTTTAAATCCGTAATTTATTAGCATTATTTTTTAAATTAACCACATCCAACAGCGGAAAGAGACGAACGTTAGCAGAATAAGAACCAGGAGTTAGAAAGATTACGCCTTGTTTCATTACCCTTTATCTTTGTTTACATCCACACAAATAGCAATTTAAAAAAAAGTTTAATGAAAATACAAGTCTCCAGACAAATTTTTATATTTAGTAGACCTATTTATAAGTGGGTTTCTTTTAAGAAAATAATGCACTTTGTAAGATGGAGAAAAAAGTTCAAAATAGACGATAATTGATGTTAAGTGTTCAAAAAAATTTATAAAATATTAGACTTGAGCAAAAACTTGGCAACGATAAAGACAATACAATAAATTAAAAGTTTCAAAATGAATTTCGGTTATTTTTTACACAAGCTGTAGTATATATTTCAGTAAATACAGATGCCACTCACTCGTAACGCGTAAAAAGTACTTAATTTGCGTTATTTACGTTTAAGTTAACGTTTTAAAAATAGCACAATAAGATGAAACCAAAGATAAACGAGGCATTCTTGTCCCAATGTTATTTCAGTTGCTGCTACCAATAAACTTTACTCAATGAATAAATCCGCAAGATCCAAGTGGGAGGGGGAGTTGTAAGAAAGAAAATTAGTATAAGCGAAGAAGAAGAAAAAAGGTTGGTGCGTTTTGAAAAACATATGCCATTTTAAACCTAATGCAGAACACTATAGGATAACAGAAACACAGTGAAAAACATAAGTCAAGAAAAGAATTCAATAAAATAATTTAAAGAACAAAAGGAAAAGAAAAACTCCTCACCCTAATTATTTTATTGATTAACTTTGAATTGTAAATAAAATCCTTAGTTAAAAATACTTATTTACTTAATAAAAGATTTTTTAAACTAGTACAGTTTTCAAATAAAGTGAAATTTATTTAATTTAGCATCTTAATCCCCATAATGAGGTATATTATCAAACAAGTGACAAAAAAAACAAAACAAAAAAAACAAGAAAAATCTAATTATTTATTAATAGTTGAAAACGATCGTTCAGGTTTAAATCGAATGATTAAAAAATAATAATAAATAAATAAAATAAAAAATAGAAAACTTAAAAAAGACAAGTGAGTAAGATTGCTGCAAGCATTCAGTTGTTAAGATTGAATTTTTTTTTAAAGATAAATGCTATTTGATGAAACCCATTCTGAAAAAATTCAGAAGTACAAAGATCGTATGCATTTACTATACACAGGTAACCAAATAGATAATTTCTCAGTAATTTTATAGTAAGAATAGTAGTAATTTTTATCTCCATGCAATACCAATTAAATGATTCAAGAAAAAAAATCGGATGTTCATTTAACCAAAGTAAAAAAAAATAAATAGAGAAAGTGAACTCTCATTTTTTCTTTAGGTTTTAGATGGTTTTCTTAAATAGTACTAAAGATCAGCTTATTTATTTAGAATTAGAAAGTAACAAATTGGTTTTGGGAACAAAAACTTTAAGTCTATGTTCTCCACGGATAGAAGGAAAAAAAAAAAAAGAGAGAGAGAGAGAAAGACGAAAAATTCTTTAGAGTAAACTGAAATATAAAATAAACAAATCGAATTGAGGGGGAGGTAGTCCTAGAATTTAGAGATTCTCTTCTCAAATTCTTATATCAAAATAACATTAGACGAAAATCCCATTGCGGTGTATAAAAATCCTATTTTTAACATGATAACTCAGCAGGAGAAGCGTATTAAAAAAAGAAAAGCGAGATTACGTTAAGCGAAAGAATCAGCTGTCAACTATTTGCGGCGAGCGGGAACAACCACAAGAAAACATTATTTTTTTTAAAACCTTATCTAACTCTTTATCTTACATTCTGCGATAACAAAATAAAAGTTTGGTGACCTATTACAAGCGTAAATTAACATAAAAAAAATAGAATTACATTAAACCTAATAGTATAATAAAACATCTTTTTAAAAATCTAAGTTAGCCAACAAATTAATCAAAAGCTATAAGCGTAATCGAATAATAAAAACGAAAATACAGTACAGGTAATTTGATTTTGAATCAAATTGGTTTAAAATTAAAGTTATCGAATCAGAAAAAAAAACACCTTTTTTAGAAAACAGCTTTGGAAGTTCGTGAAAGTTTATTTCACGCAAATGCTAGTCAAGACATAAACATGCATCGTTTTGATTATGATTTGAAACTTAAACTAAGAGTATTTCAAAAATTGCGGATACACATATTTCCCCAATGAGGGCAGATTGGCTTTATATAAATTGGAAATAACTTTATTATTAAAAAAAAACAAAATAAATGTAAAAAATTTAACCGAAATGTATTGATAATATAGAATTCAAAATATGTTAGAAGTTTTGCACGCCTTTTCTGAATTATAATAGATTTTCAACTTTCTCAGAGGAAAAACTATCTTAATTATTCTTTTAAAATATATGTAAATTATTTACATACAAAATTTTTAAGTAAATCCTTGCATTTCATTTGTTTGGAACATGTTATAATTAAAACAATTTTCTTAAAAATAAATAGATAGATAAATAACCAAATGACAAAGGATTTAAATATATTAACATCTAGATTTAATAACTCTAATTTTTTTAGCTTTGACTAGAAACTTCTAAAGATTTTAAGGTCATACAAATTAATTTGTCAAACAGTTATTAAGTTTCTAACGTTAGTATATTTATGTAGTTGATTATCAATTTTTGGTTGAAAGTCCGGGGATATTGGCCATTGACGTAGGCTGTGCATTTCTATTCTAAAATGCAATAAATGTTAAAATTTCAACAAAAAAAAAAGAGAAAAAAAAAGATTTAAATATTTTAATATTTAGATTTAGTAACTCTTATTTTTTTTTAACTGTGACTAAAAACTTGTTAAGACTTTTACTTTGGAAGACGCAAGACTTTAAGACCATAGAAATTAGTTCGTAAAACAGTTAAAAAATTAATGACGTTATTCTAGTTATATAGTTCTTCATAATTAAATTTTGGTTGAAAGACTGGGAGCTATATGTTGGCCAATCAAGATGTCGTATTTAGCCCCTTAGATGCATGCTATGCATTCTTATTCTAAAATGCACATACTGACAGTAAAAACTTAAAAGAAGCTTAAAGAAGAGATGTATACTAAAAGATGCTACATACCTTGAAGCATACTTCGATAGGCACCGTCAGTTACGGCAAATATGTGAGGTGGAACTTCATGCCTTTTTTTACCTTTATAGAGTTCGATAACTTTTTCGGTATAAATTGGAAGACGTTTATAGGGATTGACAACCACACAAAACAAACCAGAATAAGTCTGAAAAATAAAGACACATTAAATAATTCATTAAATTCAAATGTAGGTAATACAACCTTTTATAATCGATTATGATATAGATGGAAAAATTAATCGATTTGGTAATATCATAAAAGTTAACGCCAAAAAAGTTAATTTAAAACGAACAGAAAGCATTACTTAAAAATAATATTGATCATCAATTTTTACTTTTCTTCGCAATGGAGTGCAGTAGGTAGTTATAAATTATTTTGCATGTTTCCTACATTTTTCTACAGAGTAATGAAGTTCTTGGTTTGGGTTCTATAAATCTTGGTTGTCTAAGACATGTTGGTGGAGCCCAATATTTTAATAAAATTAAGCATGAAAGCGGCTTCTTAAAATTAGCCCTGGGTTCTAGATAATTTACATTTTTGTTTAACTCCGATCGATCTACGGATGGAATAAAATTTAAAAAAAAATTTTTTTACCTAGGTAAACATTAAAAAAATATCATTATTTTTTTCTCGAAAAAAATTTCATGAATTTCATAAAAAAACAAAAGTTAGTTTTTTTCTTATTAATATTTTATTTATTTATTTTGAAGGGAAAAAAACACATTTCTGCTCCGTACCTATCCTTCAAGTACATTATTATGACAACCCAAAATGCAAAAATTTATCATCCCATGTCAACAGCAAGGGTATTTCCTTTTCAATTTAACGACATTACTTCTCGGTTTCAAGAAAAGTGTTTCTTGGCACGTTATTTGGCAGCTCTTTAAACAGCAAATCAGCAAAAGTTAATGTTTTCTGTCACACGATCGCTTCTCTGGAACAAAATCTTGATGGTATCTCATAAATTCAACGAGTCTCTAAAAACTATCTTCAACAAGAAAAAGAAAAACAAGAAAAAACAATTTACTATAAAATAATATTTAATGTTAATTTTTTAAATAAGTCCAAAATGATGTTAGTTCAGTTCTTCAAGCCATGTGACCAGCTAACTGCCTTTTTAAAGATTTAACTCTAGGTGACGTCGAATGCATAGAATGGTACTGCCGTACAATTGAAAAATAACTATACCATTACATGGCAGAGTAAAGATAACTTAAAAATTGACAAAATCCTAACACCTAAATAGTTAAAATCCGCAGCATATTAAGTATTTTCCTCTAGTAAGAGGTAAAAAATTACACGACCTCGCATATCGGGTTTTGGAGGTACAGGGAACTTCATCGAATGATACCTATCGAAACAATCAGACATATAATTTAAAATTTCTGAGGGTTTTATAAACAAAAAGTAAAATTTTGTACTTGTACGAATTTACGCATATGAAATTGATGTCAAAACAAGAGAGGCATTGTTTCCGATGTATTTGTATAAAAGTACTACGGCTGACTTGTACTTAAGTACACCTTTTGTATTGCTATTTATTACCGATGCAATATTTTACTCGAATCGAATGAGACGTAACACAAGACGGACGAAGGAATAGTTAAAAAGTAAAATAGGTTTTCTGAATAAAAAGAACTATTTCGCACTTCTACTTATTTAAGTATAATAATTGCTAATAAGATCCTGTTTCCTACGTAATTTTTTTGTTTAATCGAATAAGATCATGGACGAAATAATATTTTAAACTTGTAGTAGTTTTATGGTATAAAAAATAAGATTTCTAAATTGTACTTGTTATAAAGTACAAGGTTCTAATTGTGCTATTTATTCAATCGACTCCAGCTTTGTCTCATATAAATGATCGTGAAAAATTACATTAGAAAACATATCTTACTATCCATAAGTACATGCCAACATTTTTTATACATAAAAACCGTTGTAACTTTTGAACTATTTCGTCTTATTGATTTGCGCCTAGTTCAGTATGATTCGATTCAAGATAAGGAAATACATAAGAAATAAAGCCTCACTTACTTAGATAGCAATGTTAGATGCGTACGCGTACAAAATTGTGCATTTTGTAAATAAAACCCTAATAATATCAGTCCTTCATAATATCTTGGGATTCGTTTTATTCGATTCAGCGTAACTCACTTTATCGAAAGCAATACCCCACATATTTAAATATATTATTTATTTATTATTATATTTTTGATGTTCGGGTTTTGTCATTTAGTTCGATCATTTCGCTTGCTTTACTCATATTATAGTCCTGTCATAACCAGTTAACATCTTCCAATACTTGGTAATGTTCTAAGTATCTCAAAATAGATTTACTAATCCAAGTCCAAGTCTCTGCCCAATCATCAAAATGTGGAGAATGATTAGTCACAAAAAGAATCAAGAGGATTAAAATAATCAATAGCCAATTTATTGAAGTTATACTTCTTATGCGACTTCCAACAAGGTTGCGTTAAACGTTTAACGCTACATTTTTATTGGCCGGGTAATCACGTGGTAGGATCCAGTTTTCCCTCATTCATTTCCATATTGTTTTGGTTCTCACTAGCATAAAAATAATAAAAGTCAAATACTCATATAATTTAATAGGATAGTATTTTTTATTTTCAAATTTAGTGGATAACAATTGTAAAAAATGAGTGAAAACAATCCCATGGACAATGCGACGGATTTAAGGTTATGTCAAGGTACGTCTCAATTGATTGTTAGGTTTTCTCTTCTGAAATTACATTATGACGCATTGACATACATTATTAATACAAATACATTTTCCAGGGACGATGAGGCAACCACAAGCACTTCCATTGGTTCAAGAGGTCCACGAGGGAAAAATACGCAATATTACCGTGATTACAGAGCACGGAAGCGAGTGGAGCAGGAAAAAGAGACGTTGAATAGAACTAGTGATCCTTCTACGACTGCTGATTCTTCTACAATTAACGTCGCTGGTTGCGAAATTTAACTTCTTCCGCGCGGAGGGACTCCACGCACTATTTATTTTTGCTTGATAATAAAAGACGGTTACTAAAGAAATGTGTGTAGTTTCATCCCACAAACGAATAAATTTAAAATCTTATTTAAAACTTTTATAGATTAAAAACAAGTTTTATAAAGTTCAAAGAATTTTTTTTAAAAAAAAAGAACAGAAAACTATTCATTTTTCTTCATTTATTTACATTTTCAGTATTTTAATTTAATTTTCTGGTGTTAAAGGTTAGGTGTCAAATTTGAACAATTCTAAAGTAAAATGATCTATCTGATTTTATTTTATGGTAGAAAGAATACATTCACAATATTAATACATACACAATATTAAATAAGTTAAATCCATTTTTGCTTAGTAGATATTGGGTCTGTTCCATAACACAGAGCTTTTTGAAAATTTCTTCAACTTATGTTTATCGATTGACGGTTGTTAGTTGTTAACGGTTGTTAATTGTTTAACGGTTGATTTTTCGATTGATTCAATTTATCATTTTCACGTGAATCAATATTTTAAGTATTTCTTTCAGAAAATTTAACTATAATAAAAAAAAAGTTAAATTGTTAAAGAAGAATAAAATACAATCTAAAATTTTTATTATAAACTTAGGGAACATTCTTACTGACTACAGTTTGATAGTTCTACTTTAAATGCATCAATCAAATTCTTAATTTCTAATTAAATAGATTACGTAAATTTTTATTTTGATGAAAAAGTGACAAAAAATATTAACGGTAAAGTGTTGGAAAATATTTTGTATCAATCAGAGCTTATTCTAGGCAGGGTAAACAGGGCGCAGCACCCTGCTGCCCTTTTAGTCAAAAGAATCCACCCTTAGTGCCCTGATGTAATAGACTCCATACCCTTTTTGTTCTTTCTTTTCTCAACCCTTTATTTTTTTCTCCAAACTCTACAATGGATTTCTTAAACTTTTGTTATTTTNTGAATTACTACTAAGCTAATTAGCTCATTAACTCAATATAAATGCTAATTTATTAATAAAAATTAGTTATTAATATGATTGCTTTGCTACTATTGGTAAAGTTAAAAACAAAAAATTCTTTTACTAATTTACAATGTTTTTTAACACTAATCATACCATAACGGGTCAAAAGACCCGTTTTGGTATGTTGTATTGTATTGAAAAGTGTTGGTATGTTTAGTGTTAATAAAACGTGTAAAGCCCATAGAAAGAAATTACTGCCTTTTTAGAATAATAATGCCCTTTTTTTAACTTTTGCACCCTGCCCTTTTTTCTGCCTAAATTGAGCTCTGGTATCAAAATGAAAAGTTTGTTTTCAAACTATTTGAATTTCGAACACAAAATCGTTTAGGAGGAAAGAATATCTCTACTCTTCTAAGGTAAAAACCGATTAAACTTTTCAGTTTGTTTTCGAACGACATCGTCAGAACGGTTTGGAGAGGGGAACTGACCCATTCTTATTCATGATGAATTTATTCAGCTTGAAACTAGGCTAGAAAATTTCAGTCTCAACAAAAATACCTAAACATAGCCGGATAAAGAATTTAGCTTCAATCTAAAATAAACAAAGGCGGGAAGAGAAAAACTTTTCAACAATGATTTTAAACAATGTAGTAATGTGTAGTATAATGATGAATAAGTTAAAGGGCAGGGAGCTAGATTGGTAAAGATTAATTTCTAGGCTCGCAATTCATTCTCAATCCAACTCACATAAAGACCATCTCTGTTTAGTGAAAAAAAATAAAAGCGTAACTTTAAGCCTCATCAAGAAAGGGAAAAGTGAAGCACAAAGAGCTTTTTCTTGCAAGAAACGATACAGGGGGATTGTTTTAAATTAAACGTTAATACGTACAAAGAATTCAGATCCATACTCGAGAGAAGAAAGAAAAAAAAGCATATCTAATCATGCATAACTTCAACAAACGGTATCAATATTAATAAACTCATTTTTAGAAAATAAATGTACGCGAAATAGGTATAAAATATGTAAAATTAAATGTTCAATCTTATAGATGTGAAGCAATACAGAGTTCGAAAATTAGAAAACCGAATCATAAAAAACTTCTACCCCTTAAAAATAATCGTTATCCTGTTTTAAAAATATAAATTGCTACCTAATATTTTTAGGGTTTGAAAGTGCAGAGAAGAAAAAGAT